CCCCCCCCTGAGGTTTTTCGCGAATAGCGGGAAAACCGCGGCGCGTAGCGCCGCGAAATTTGGTACGACTATTTCCTCATCAATTTTACACATGGTGTGCAAGTTTGAACTTCCTACCTTTTAAGGTCAGGTCACCAGGTCACTTTGAATGACCCAACCTCACGTCACTTTTTTGCAACTTTGTCACCGTGCCAGAGCTACAGTAGATGTCGGAGGCCTTTGAAAGTCGCAGGATGTTATTAAGTCATTAGTAGCTACAATTTGTATATCTCGGAATTTTGATATCGGTGACCTAAGGTCAGGTCAATTTCGCGACCTCCCCATTATAAGTCAATGGGGGAAAAATAAACTCCCTGGTTTTACCACTAAAACGGGTCGGAATGGCCCCATATACCATACATGACTTCATATACGATCAACCTTCACTACCTTGAGGTCTGTTTTGCTGTTGGGCAGCTGTAAGGTCATGTGACGTCATCAAAGGTCACCAAAGGTTTTTGGCCAATAACTCCGTACAGGAACAAGATACAGCCGCGTGGATGGTCTCATTGTGTTCAGCTCGTCAAGACGCATCGAATGATATACAAGATGACCTCGAGGTCACATGACCTGAGGTCAACCTTTGACCTTGACCTTTCGAGGTCAACATATATATCATTCGATGCGGATTGACGAGAGGATCACGATGATCCCCCGTCGGTGCGAAGTTGGCGCAGACCCCCGTCGGTGCGCGGATTCTACAGTTACACAAACCAGCGCCGGTTATTTCTTGGCGGTCCAACTGCAGCTGTTGCCTGTCACCCCGGACCCCATCCGGAACATTTAAATAATCATTTGAAAGCCGGACCATGACACACACCGTTAGACGATAATCTGCCACAGAATGGTGCCCGTCGCCGCCTAAACTGCCGCTGTTCGTCGGCTCCTCTGTAAGTGTCCTGTTGGCGCGTGACAGCGGTGTGATTCAGTCTGTCATCAGATGACAGCAGACAGTCCGCAGAGAGACCGTTTGTGGTGACAGGCTGACAGCTCCGCCGCGAACAAATGGTTCCGGTGATGTGTTGTGGCACCAGCCACTCAACCGGCGGAGCTAAAGATGGATTTTATGAAGAGACGACGGTGAGACCAGAGGGATAAGCAACAGCAAAAGTCCGCATATTCTCCTGGTGTATTTTTTTTTTTTGTTAATTCTTAGCGTATCCAAAGAAATAATAATTGGCATTCGTTGACTCGCGTAACAACAATCACACCGATAGAAGTTAGCCTCCCCGTGTTGACGTTTTCACAGTTCTGCTAACGTACAGGGAGAGGGAAAGGGAGAAAGAGGGAGGTGTGGAGAGGGAGAGAGGGAGGTGTGGAGAGGGAGAGAGGGAGGTGTGGAGAGGGAGAGAGGGAGGTGTGGAGAGGGAGAGAGAGGAAGGGATGGAGAAAGAAAGCGAGAGAGAAGAGAGAGAGAGGGGAGAGAGAGAAAGAGAGAGAGAGAGAGAGAGAGAGAGAGAGAGAGAGAGAGAGAGAGAGAGAGAGAGAGAGAGAGAGAGAGAGAGAGAGAGAGAGAGAGAGAGAGAGAGAGAGAGAGAGAGAGAGGACAGAGGCAGCGAGACAGTGATGGGTTCGAGCTATTCGTGCCATTAGTTGAACTGTCTGGCCGCTGTCAGTCCTCTGTCGGGTAACTGAGCGCAGTGACGACCGACGATTCCCGGGCCCGCCATCCGCCGCGCGCCCCATTGTCGAGCCGGGCCAAATGGCCAGCGGCTCCTCTCTCCTGAGCGGAGCACCAGGGCGCTCTGACGGCTCCGTACGCCGGCTCTAAATATAGGCACCGCAGCCGGTGACCACTGCTGCAGCCGGAACTCTTTGGTGTAGGACCGGAGAGGCGTGACCCCTTTGCACAATTCAGGGGCCAGGTACTGACTGCCGGTCACTCACAAAGTAGGAAGTTCACTCACTCGGCCGGAAAAAATAGACACCGAGAGAATACGTCTTGTAGGTAGTTGACTCACTCGGCTTTATTACATCCTACAACTTTCAAAAGACTCGGTCATCTACTGTGCCTTCAACACGGTTACAAACATGCAAAAAAGCGATGTGACCTGGTGACGTGCCTTGGAATATAGGAAGCCACCACTTCCGTCTTCCACACAAGAACAACTAAAATTTCGCGGCGCTCTACGTCACAGCTTTTCCGCAATTTACGAAAAGCATCCGGCCTGGGTTATCCCCCCCCCCCCCCCATCAATGCGCGGGTAAATTAGGACTTTGGTGACCCATGAAAACCTGACCTAATAATGATTGAGGTGCAACTAAAGGATGGACAATTTATGAATCCAATTTACCTAAATTTAACAACGATCAAACGATCACCGCGCTGAGCAGTTTTATAGCGATGTTAGACCAATGACTTCAGAAAGGTCATCGCTGCATTTAATATTTATTTTCGGGCTCAAGTAGGTGTAGTTTGTCATGATTTCTGATAACCTTTTGAACGTCCCTCATCGCTTGTCACAAGGTCGATGAGCAGTGTGAGCATCAAAACGCCCCCACCTTGCCACCTCCATCATAGGCGGCGGAACGGGGAGGGCACCGGGGTACCGTGCCCCCCTTTGATTAGAGCATTTTAACATGACCTCTATGGGCGTTGCATGCAAAGAATGGGACCAAAGGTTAGCAGTGCCCCGCCCCCCCCCCCCCCTTAATTGAAGGTGTTCGCCGCTACTGACTTCCATGTGTTACGATCCGAACACCGCTGCTGGGCTCTCAGTCACCTTGTACACCTTTTTTCAATCCGAATCGGCATCCGTTCATTCAAATACGGCAGCGGGCACCTTATCTCGACAGGCACTCCAACAACTCGACACTGGAGCACGCATTTCGACACGTTTCACGGATTTAGACTAGCATCTGTTGATATTCGACCAGGGTCATTAAAAAACAGCAGGGGCATTTAATATCGACAAAGGGCATTCTGTTTTGTCATATTGCATTTTAAGTCGGCAGCTTGCAGCCAAGCTAGACAATGGTCAATTTATCTCATCAGTGAATTAAGCAACTCTTATCTTTTCGGAAAGGCATGTTAAGAATGTGCGTTAAAATGTTATACGGTACTGTAAAGAGACACTCCATATGGGCGCTTGGTTGCTAAGTAACGGCACACCTTTTTCAATCCGAATCGGCAACCGTTCATTGGAATACGGCAACGGGCACCTAATTTCGTCAGTCGCTCTGGAACCTTAACACCGGTTCGTCCCTAACATCAACCGCTTCCGGCACACAAGCTGACCTCATTCGAGGTCACCATCCTCTGTGACAATGTGGAAGCACTGGCGAATCCAAAGGGCGACGGGGGTCATTCGGGCCCACGCTCCTGGCGAATCCAAAGGTTGACGGGGGTCATTCGGGGCCTCGCTCCTTTCAACGCATCTCAAAAGTTGACAATGTTTTAGCCATAATTCTTGCATGAAAAACAAAAATATTGATTCTTCATTTGCGTCGATCTGTCGACACATTGTGAGTGGCGCTGACCGCCAGCGCGGATGGTTCAGGTCTGCTGAGATGGGAATAGGCATGTCACCGGAGAGCGGCAACAATGTTTGCAGGACGGCGGTGTGGTCAGTCATGGTCAACTGTATTTCCGGACAAAAAAAAAAAAAAAAAACTGCCCTCTGGAAAGGTGGAAACCCTACGGGCTGACCCATCGATCGCTTTGGCTGCATATCCGTAGCGGGACAGTTTTATACCGGCGCCTTGTCAGCCGTCGCAGCTCACCGGTCACTGGTAGACTCACCCAAATGCTTCCTCCGCATTATCCTCTCATTTCACGACTCTGACGTGGCTTGCTAGCCTACTCACCCTCCATTCACAGAAGAAAAAAACGTTTAGACCTTAAAACCACGGCCTTGGCGTATTTTGTGTTCCATTAATCCCAGGGAAGTCTAACGAAAGAAAAATGCCATAAATTCAAGTGGTAAGCATTGGAAACACATCAATATACAAAATGTGGTATGAAATTTGCTTGATTTTGCTTGTTATAACGGCAACGAAACTGAATGACCATTGCCATTTTAAAATGAAATTTGCCTTTTTCCAATGCCCGATGCCACAGTCCTATGCCGTGTGCCGAAATCCATTGGCCAGTGTCGAAACAACGCCCAGTGTCGAAATTAAATGCCCCATGTCACGCCTCTGCACTATGCCGAGTTTGGAGCGAGGTTTGTCGAAAGCGCATTCCGGCTGACGTTCCTAATGCAGATCTGCCGAAACTAACTGACCGGATGCCGATTCGGATTGAAAAAAGGTGTATAAAGGACATGTGTGTATCCTTTTACAGGCGCTGTGGACTAGCGAGCTGGTAACCAGACCCGTGGACAGGGTGTCACATCTGGAAGCACGTCTCGCCGCCGGACTCCGCCCTGGATTCCTGCGAGTGCCGCTCTGCCAAACGACACGGCGCGTGGCCAGCGCGCGGTAGCCGCTTCTCTGTGAGTCTGCCGAGCCGCCACGCAGCCAGGCATGTGGCGAGGCGGCGCCGGCCGCGGGCGGAGCGCCTCCACGTAACTGTCACAACCGTCTCATGTTTCACAGACGGCAGACAGGTTTACGGTGATTGTGTACACGGACGTCCGAATGTACAATGTTGTGTTTAATTAGAGCTGTTGTCAGGATATGGGTACGGTGCTCGGATTGGTTGCCCAGCGAAGTAATTACCACATCAACAAACTAGCAGGACGCCTGCCATTTCATGCAGGACATGTCCTATCCCTACTCACTAGGAAAATGTGAGGGTTGGGAGTAACTGATGACATACAATAGCCGAGACAATAAACATCGCCAAGATATCCAGCATCTGCAGGCATAGTGATCGACTGATGCCGTTTTTCATGATTGAAATTGGCAAGTTGCAGTATCATTTGCAGAAAATCTTTAGGGTCCCGAATTCCTTCCACACGATCTCAGATAAGAAAATGGTCGGATGGAATAAACTCTACAAGGTATAAAGCTGTCAATCGTAACATATCGGCTTCATTTATTGTGTAAAAACACGCTTTGTATGGACTGCACCTCAATCGTCAAACGGACACGATAAGACAAATGTCATCATAAAACCACAAGTCATCATCAATTGCACAATGGAACTAACCATGTCACTAAAAATGCACCCAGTTTCAACTACTGCCACACATGCAGCGTAGTCCTGTGCTATCACAAGTGAGATCAGTGAAATGAAAGGCAAGAGTTATAGCTAGGAAGCTTCGTCTGAAAACCATCCGAGCAGACGGGCAAAAAACCTCCGAAGATCTGCCACTTTACCTCTAATGAAAAACTTGGTCACTTGGCCATAAACGAGATCTCAAACTGACTAGAACCAGTATCGATCGTTAAACGCTTGCAAAATAAGTAAAAAGCAGACTAGTGTCACCACTATCAACGTAGGAACTCACGTGTAAGGCACCGTCTATCCGTCAGAGCGCGCACCGTCGGTTGGTGACGTCGCCGCTGGTGTCGCTGCGGTCAGCCGGTGCTGGTGGCCCGCTCCATCCTGCCCGAGATGCCGCTGAGGGTGTCGCGCAGCTGTTCGGTCAGCTGGTGCTGCAGCAGCGCCAGCCGCGCGCAGCCGTCCAGCAGCTGCTGCCGGCCGGCGGTCGGCTCCTCCAGACTCCGGCAGAGCGCGACCGGCTCCGGCAGCGGCCCGGTCGGCGGCGCGGCGCCCAGGCGCGCCAACCCAGCCGCCAGCGCGGCGGCCAGCCGCAGCTGGTCGGCGCAGCCCTCCTGCAGCCGGCCCAGACGGCGGCGCTCCTCCACCAGCAGCCCCTCCGTGAGCGCGCGCAGCTGCCGCTCCTGACTGACGGTCCAGTCGCAGCTCTGGCGGCGCTGCTCCAGCTCGCGCAGACGGCGCTCACTGGCCTCGCCGGCTCGTGCCACGCGGTCCGCGTACGCTCGCTCGGGGCCAGGCGTGAGCGGCGCGTTTCGGTGCCACCGCGCGATGGCGCTGGTCATCTTGCGGCGCGGCCCGAGCAGCGTGATGCCGGCTTCCTTGAGGTCGTCATCGGTCATGACCAGGAAGACCTGCAGGTCGACCTCCTGTCGCTCCAGCACTGGCTGGTACTTCTGCAGGCCGACGGTGGCCAGCAGAGCCGCCAGGTCGGCCGGCTGCTGCTGCTGATCGGACGAAGCCGCCGTCCGGCCGCTGTCCGCTGCCCCGGCCGGCGGCGCGTCTCGGCGCAGCGCCGCGAACGCCGCGCCGTCGGCGGGCCGCGCTGTGGGCGTCGGCGGCTCGCTGGCGTCGTACTCTGCTAGCAGCTGGCTGACGCGCTCGTGGCCACCGGTCTCGGCCAGTTCGCGCGCGCTGGCGCCGCTCGGCAGACGCAGCTGCACGTTAGCACCGTGACGGATCAGAGCGAACACGATCAGCTCGTGGCCCGCGGCGGCGGCCAGCAGGAGCGGCGTGTAGCCGCGCTGTCGGTCCAGCGCGTTGGCGTTGGCGCCCTCCGCCAGCAGCAGCTCCACGGTAGCGCGGTGACCAGCGTCTGTAGCCAGGTGCAGCGGTGTCCAGTCGCGCGCGTCGCGGCACTCGATGTCGGCGCCGCGACCGAGCAGCGTGAGCAGCACGTCGTCGTGTCCGCGGCAGGCGGTGAGCGCCAGCGGGGTGCGGCCGCGCGGCTCGGCGGCCGCCGTGTCGGCGCCGCACGCCAGCAGCGAGTGCACCACGGCCGCGTGCCCGTAGTAGCAGGCGTACATGAGCGGCGTCCAGCCGGCGCGGTTGGGCCGGTCCAGCTGGCCGGGACGCTCGCGCGCCGTCTGCAGCACCAGCTCGCCGTCGCCCAGACTGGCGGCCGTGTGACAGTCCAGAGGCGGACCCGGCTCGTGCGCCAGCCGGCTGATCCGCTCGTGGGTTGAGTGAGTGAACACGTCGTCGCACTCGTACATAACTGGCCAGAAAGTACCTACGTTTCCAGACAATGGCAAAACAGGCTGAAGGATTCACCAATAGCCACACACTAGTGCTGGTCCTGGAACATATGGCATGGAGCAGAAAAAAGGTTAAAGCATCAGGTGCTAACTGACCTGAACATCACCTAGAGCTGCAAACATTTTGTTTTGCTTGAGGATAGTCGAGATAGTCGACAGATGAAACCTGCAGAGTGCAGTTGACCAGACAAAAACAAAAATATATCTAATGGACACAGCTTAAAAAAGTATCACTTACAACACATGGGAAATGGGAAATGTCACATCATGACAGGGTGGCATGGTTATGACAGCTGAAGGTTTTTGAATGGTGGCTCAAGAAATACATTTTTGGACACAATTACAGTACCCAAGCAGATTAAGCAGGCTACACATTTTTGGTGATACTAATGGCTATCTTAAGGGCCAGTACCCAACTGATAGTCTAAGCCTAGGGCTAAAGATACTAAATCCTGAATTAGTATCTTTAGTGATTATATATTAGTATCTTTAGATTAGTATCTTTAGTGAATTACTGTATAGTACCTACGTATATTAACTTGAAAGACAGTTGAGACCTTCATTCAACTGCAGAGAGCAGATCACAGCAGAAACAAATATATGGTTTCATGTTCAATATTGTAAGACATGTTTATAAAGTCTGATGGCCAAGAGTTTCAAACGAAAATTATAATTAAAATCTAAATCTTTTTGTATTTCAGACGTTTCGACAACACTGTGCCATCGTCAGTACCTAATTGATATAAAATATTTCCTAAAGTCACAAATCACATTTTAAAAACACATTTTAAAATTCGTTATTTTTAAAATGTGATTTGTGACTTTAGGAAATATTTTATATCAATTACTGACGATGGCACAGTGTTGTCGAAACGTCTGAAATACAAAAAGATTTAGATTTTAATTATAATTTTCGTTCGCAACTCTTGGCCATCAGACTTTATAAATATGGTTTCATCCGACTTGTCACCTCTCCTGACTCATGACCAGAATCAAATCCAAAAGCACTGGATAATTTTTCCCTGCCTCTTCAAAAAACTTGTTCTTTACATTACGCTACCTAGGTATTGAAAACTTCTAACTTAACCTATTCAAAATGTGTCTTGGACCTTGGTCTTAGTCAAATTGCACAATTACAAATGACTAAAAAGAGACCAAATTTCAGTAAATTTCCTTTTAAATTGGATTACCTTTTAGAGTACCTATGCCTATACAGTTAACAGTATCCAAATATTTTCCAAGGCCGCCAACGACAAGCTAAGGAAAGAAAATGGTAATAGTAAAGCAGGCATCACACTTGTTTCTTGCAACCGAGGAGAGGTGCTGTAGGTTAAATCGTAGGTTGTATGTTTTAGGTTTTGGGTAGTAGGTTTTAGGTTTTAGATTGTAGGTTGTATGTTTTTTAGGTTGTATGAAGGGTTAGGTAAGGTTTGGTTAGGTTTTATTGGAAACAAATACCTGGGTATCTGGTATAGCGCCTCTCCTTGGTTGCAAAAACAAGTGTGATGCCTGCTTTACGACTTCCAAGAAAACTTCAATGAAAATGTCTTAATTAAAGTGCTCATCAGTCAAATGAGCTTAAAATGATGTGTCAAATATCTATGAGTAATAGTCCTAGTCGTAATGCCATGGCATATGTAAATAATGTTTCCTGTTTTGTATAAATAGGTAATAGTGACAAAATCATTATTGAACTCAGTCCACTCCAAAGTCCAAATGGCAGCGTGACAGCAAGCGTGAGAGGTGGACTATCGGAAAATCTGAATCATATTGATATCACAAGAAAAGGATCTCAGGCTCAGCATACAATGCACCTTAAGGACCCTCCCACCTTAACATTAGATTTGAGTTGAGATAGCCAAAATGGGGTCCCTGGCTCACAATTACCGGTTTCGGCACTCACAACATCGAGAAATGCCTAAAATCGGAAATATTGAATTTCAAAATTGCAGCATTTTGATTCAGAGGGGCTAATGCATAGGAATACCCCTCTGAATGTGTGACGTCAGCGCAGATATCTACCGATTTTTAAATGTTTGACTAAAACGTTTTGTAGCACGCGGTGTTATATGCTGCTTTGCGCGCAACAAATGCCGCACTTTCAAATAAAGTCGCTTAGGAACAGCGGAGATCCCAAAAAGTAAACAAAAGTAAAAGTCTAAGGACGCCATTTAATTGCGTCCCAGAAAAGCTATTTCTGGCACCTAAAAGCTGACTCGCCCCAAAATTGGTCCTCAGCACCTATTTGGTGGATACTAGCACCAATCATGGAAAATGACCTTAATTAGCTGTTTCTGGCACCTATTCATCGGTACGCCTTACTCTTTTTTCTGAATCTGGCACCTAAATGCTGAGCGTAGCACCAATCTAGCAGAAAAATGAACTACTGGCTGGTAGAATCATGTTGTTCTGGTATAATGACCCCTGGAGTCTAGCCTAAAGGTTGCCAGTGCAGCTACACTCTAAGACAGCCCCGTAGTGATCTCAGCATTGTATATGACGTTTAAGTAAGCAAATAATATTGATTTGTTTGAAAAAACAATGTCATTTAAATATTTAAAAGTATTTATTTGTAATGCTTAAAGGGAAACATTTTTGTGAGTAATTGTCTCGATTTTGACCATTAAAACGGGTATTGCATTTTTTGACGTCATCAAATAGCTCCGAAAAAGAAATGTAATGTTTTCATTCCGTTCAAGGCCGCTGAAGAAACGCGGGATCTTGCGTGGGACATTGTCCGTTGTTTGCCGCGCAGAGTTGTGCCGTGGTTGTGCCTTTTTCATCCGTTTCTTACTTATGTCATATGTGTGCATGAAGCTTTGATTTTGTTTTTGGTTATTGTGTGGCCGGTCAGTCAAACGCCCATGTAGAAACCGGATGCTGCGTTTGATCGAGATGGAGTCAGACGATGATTGCAGAAAGCTAATAATATTGAAAAGAGGGCCGGTTGCGTGGCATGTCTGTTCAGAGTTGACATTTTGCTTTACTCCAGTTAATGACCTGAGAGCCTGGCACTTGACATCACCGAATGCAACGTTCATGTTGTTAGGATACATAAAATCAGGAAGATTACGCGAATTAGGTAGGCAAACGTGGAATAAAATAGGTGCTGGATGTTTTGGTTTTGGTGCTGAATCAGCAAACAGCAAATACGGAGTTCAACTAGACGATCTGGCAACTTTAGGCTGTGTGGAAGCAATTAGGTGCCAGATTCAGATATTAGGGTCGAATAAGCATTTTGGGGCTGATCAGCAATTAGGTGCCAGAAACAGCTTTTTAGGGACCAGAAACAAATATTCCCCAAAGTCTAATATCAGTCCCACGCACAAGGGGGAAAAGCTCAAATTATTGAGCGCTCAAAATATTGAGCGTGTGACGTCAGAGGCTCCCATAGGCGTAATGCTGAGGGCTCAAAAATTGAGCCGTTTCAGGAACACGTTTTGCAAAAGCAACTCGCAACACCTAGGGAGAAATGGCAACACCCTAGGAGAATCACTAATGATGCAAAACAGATTAGGCTTTCATATTTTTCACTGCTCAAGCTTCAATGATTGGGGGAACACCAATTTATAGGTCGAAATCTTACGGCATACCAGGACGACTTAAAAAAAAGGCCAATATTTATGTCGAAATAAAAGTTATTTTTTGTCCATTCACGTTTTTTACTAGGGTTCTGTTGGAAAGAGCATTTTTCATACTACCCAAAATGATTGCGATTCAATTTCACATTACCCGTATCGGAGAATATTTTTCATTTGGCGGCGCCGTTTGTTTATTTCGTCGCGATGTCTCCGGTCGCGTGGTTATCGTCGTCCTTGTGTTGAGGGTAAGTTTTTATCGTTTTAGTTGTACTTAGATGTTAAAAGGTACACTGAAAAGTTTGAATATGCTGTGATTTTAAATTTGGAGACACGTAAACGTCAATCAATTCACGTTTTCCTCGATTTGCGTGCAGATAAGTAACTGTCGACGAAAGTGGCGCCATCCGATATGATGTTTTGAAGGAAGGAGACACAACATATTTACGTGAAAATTTTTGTTTTTTAGTGGTCTAAGTGCTTCAAAGAGGCTGTGAATGTTTTCTTCACACAATTTTTCATTAGTTATGATGAGGTAAAAGGTAGTTTCAGTCTTAACTTTCATATAAATGACATTAAAACATATGATAGTCCACTGATATCAGTGATTGAGTACCTTGATATTTGGCATTTCTTATTAATTTGAATGTATTCTCTATCCATATGTCCTGATAGTAAGTGACAACACTCTGCCAATATGTTTCCATAGTTTTCACATTCATTTTCCAGTCCTTTACATAACATCACAATTTATAATCAACAAAACTCAACTCCTTCATTACTTCACAACACTGACAGCATGACAGACTGACAGTCAACTATTGTGTGGGTGAATGCTGAAACAGGATAGCCACTTTGCTGACTGGCTCGCTCATATGAAATAAGATAAAAATGATCCTTTATATCATTTCCATCTGGAGGATCGGAGTCAACGGAAATGAAGGCCACTTTCAAGCCTCAAGGTCTAGGCCGCCAGACGCCAGTCGGCAGTCACCACCAAATTTATAATCAATTAATTCATTATTATACTTTGAGACCCTTAGGTCACTGGATCAGCATCACATTTTCAGTTTCAATATAGTAAAGGTTTTTATTTGTATGATGTGAAATATTTTCCTGAATCAGAATTTGATTATCCCTAGGTACCTGGTAGAGGTTTTGGATTTAATGCTCATTGTTGGTGTGCAGTCAGGATTTTTTGACAGGTCCAGATAGGGAATCCTGAGCAATTTTATAGTAAAGTGGTCTCCTTATAATCACCACACATTTTATCAAAAGCATTTGCAGAAGTCATTCAATGAATAATTTTATCAATGTTGCACCCATTTCTTAGACGGATTAGGCTGCATCTTTTTTTTAGTTCCTGTTGTATGACATTTTCCGTTTTGTTCCACTGCATAAAGAAAAAAATCGTTTGAGATCACCAAACAGCTTTTCTTTTTCTGGCAGGTCTGCACAACCAAGCGGTCGCTGGCGAGGACGTCGGCCGTCTCTGTGGGTAAGGTCATCTGCTCAGCCTTTGTGGAGATCAGCAAGACGTCACTAAGATGAAGACTTCGCTGGAGCAGAAGCCGCTGACCCGTGTCCGATCGGGCAGGTCATGCTCGACGGCACGAGCCACAACTCGAACGACTCGGTGACATCAACAACATGGTGGAGCAGGTGAATGAGTTTGGCGACGTGTTGTGCGACTGCAAGAAGGGTTGTCTGCGTGTTCTGGCCGGCGGAGCGGCGACGCTGCGCAGTCTGTGCTGGCGGTGAGCAGCTGGCCGTGGTGACCGCGCGCGCCCA